TAGGAGTGTAATTCTGTATCTTCAGTCTTAGAAGTTTTGCCAGGTGTGGTGCATGCCTGTAATCCCAACAACTCTAGAAGCTGAGGAAGGAGGATGGCAAGTTCAAAGCCAGCCTCAGCAATTTACCAAGACCTTAAGCATCTCAGTAAGACTCTGTCTCTAAATAAATTACATAAAATGGCTGTGGATGTGGCTTCGTGGTTAAGTGCCCCTGTGTTCAATCTCCTGTACCAAAAAAAAAAAAAAAAAAAAAAAAAAAGTTTGCTTAAGTTTGAGAACCTGTACAAAAGAATATATGCTGCACATTGGCCTTTACATAAAAACATACATACATATATAAATAAGTAAAAGCATGCCTTGTAACAAGTAATTTCTACTGCCTGGACCTTATTTTCCTCCTCTGAAAATGATTCTTTAATAGCTGCATCATATTCTTCTCTGTCTTATAAAGGTTTTGGAGTCTGTCTGTGCCTCAGAACAAAGTAAGGCAAGACTAACTCCTTCAAAATGAAGAGTGAAAATGCTTTGGATATGTGCCCATATTGATTTGGTTCTCTGGGGTACAGGGTCCCTGCTTCTTGTTGACTGACTCCAAACAATATACCAAACCATTCTGATCCACTGGGCTTATGAAATACTCACTGATGTTTTCCAGACATCAGTCTCTTTTGTTCACCTCCTCTGTCAGACCTAGGCAGTTTTAATGTTTTTCAGAGATGGACTGGGGAAGGATGAAGTAGTGTGGTTTTGCAAAGCCAACATGTGTCATCCTGTTATGACCCCAGGGCCCTAATATCTCTGGGGATGATATCCATCAGATATGATGAATAGTCTAAAACAGACAACCAAATCAACAAACAAAGCAGTTGGAGTGAAGAAAGGACAATCAGCCATTTATTTTTGCTGCAGTCTAAAGTTTGATTTGTTTCATATCAATTTTTTCTTAATTTTTGTACCTTCAAAATGGAAGGTAATCTGCCAATCAGATAAAATTTTAAGACAAATATTTTAATCATTTGTGAAAGAAAAAATGAGCACTCAGCCAACCAAAAAAGTGAATTATAACTTAAAACATTTTCATTGGCAAGGAAAGGTCAATATGTAAAATTCCCATTGTTCAATAAAAATATACCTTTTTCAGCTTTGCAAAATATAATCTTTTTTTCTTACAATTCATTATGCTTTGCAACTGGAAGCAAACATACCCACATACCGTGAGCTTCTTGATTTCTTCATTACTGTCGAAGTGGCTCTGATTTGGATTATGAAGTCTACTGATAGACTGAAAATCATTTAAATACAGATACAATGTCTTGGGCATTTTTTTACAGCCTGTACAGTATGTTGTAATTTTTTTTATATAGTAGGAATTCATTAATCTTTATTTGAAAAAAAAAATAAATGCTGCCCTAAAGAAGCAATGATAGCTTATAAATATTAAGTAGATAACTAATAAATATTAAGCTAAGGGGTGACTGCACTATTCCAAGTACTTTATAGTTCTGTGTATTTAATAATTCTATGATGGTGTTGTTTGTCATTCCCCTTGTAAAGAGATTGGCCAAGAGAAGCTAAGTATCTTGGTCAAGGTCATACCACTAGTAAGCATTGAGTCAAGATCTGAACCCCGACAGACTGTCTCCAGAGCCAATATTCTTATTTTCAACATTACATGGCTTACTCTTTATTGTTTTAACAGAAAATCAAAATGATCCATCTTTAACTGAAAAATAGATTCCTTCTGAAGTTAATGTTGAAAACCTATTTCAGTACATTGCCCTGGCCTTCTCACTATTAAAAGGTTCTTTGGTGCTTATTTGAAACAGATGCAAACACTTAAAACATCCATTTGCATTGTGTTTCCCTGTGATTTGCTGGACCATGTCAGGTTGCCTTCAGGAGACTCATTTCTAAGTGACTGATTTCATTCATCTTGCTGCTCCTTTACAAACCTGCAGCTTTGTGGGTCTGTTAAAGCTGGTTGGTCAGAGGTTTATTAGCATCTTGTGCCAACATTCTGTCTCTGTCTGTTTTAGAAAGATTTAGGCAGTTATGAAAAGAAACTGGGTGGTTTTTTCAAAGCACAAATTTTTTTAACCAAACCTGTTGGCAAGACACAATGACGGGCTAATGGTTGTGCAAAGTTTATTTTCACGTACTTCTAACTCCAGGAATTATTCATTGGGAATTACTTAAAAGCCTTTGCCTTCCAAATGTGCTGCTTTTCTTCTAAGTTATTGTTATTCAGTAAACTTAAGATTCAGTTGAACTTCCTTTTTCACTAGTTTGGTTTTTTACTCTTTGTTTTTATTGCTTGCTCAACTCTTGTGATTGTTTAACTGTTGTATCTTATAATTTTTCATGCAAAATGATAAGGACAGGAAAATGTCACCATGAGCCCACAGTATGGGCAGGTCTATGTCTCTTGTCCCTAACGATAGATTAATGACAATATCATTTTAATGTGCTTTATTTCTCTCTCTAGTAATAAGAATGATTTGGCATGAGTGTTTTGGTTAATCACAGTTTCTGATTAATAAAAATAAGACTTGTCACGGGGTTTTGGAGAATCAAAAAATAATGAAAATATACTTTGCACCAATCAAAACATAATATAATCTCTTTTTTGATGATTCAGAATGTCCTTCAGAATCTTGCTTCTTGTGATGGTTATCACCATGTTCATCGGTTAAAATTATATTTGGGAAATGTTTGAGGAAACAATTAAAGAAGATATGTTTGGATTATACTTAGATTTACTGAAATTATGTTTCTGAGTCATTTGAGCTAAGAATAGGGAGCGTTCTCTCTCACAGTGAAGCCTTAGGCTATTCTATTCCAGAGCTCCAAAACTGTAGAAGAAAGCTAGAGAAAAACCTCCTGGCTATAATGAAATCCTTCTGGTACTTTGGTACTTTAAATGGTAATTATACCCTCTAATTTTATCATATGTTTTGTGTATCTTTATCATCGTACGTTATCTTGAAATCTGGTCATGTACTCCTCAAGGGGTGAGACTGTCTCTCCCTGTATCTCCCCTTCTCACCTATTACAAAGGCAAATATCAGTATCTCAACACGTTTTCATTTCTGAGACACAGATTATAATATTGTTTTTAATTTGGATGCTCTTAAGAGAGTTTAGAGTGATGTGGCTTATTTTATAGAACTTAATTTTCAACATCCAGTATAAATTAGTGTGAGTGGCTTTTTTTCCTGTGACAGTCACCTATTTTGGGTTTTATGTTGATGAGTGTCAATCGGAGGCATGTTGTTGTTGTTGTTGTTTCTGTTTATTGTGTGGCATGGAGTAACATTTCATTTCTGAGGATGCTTATGACCTTGTTAAATAGCAGTCCAAAATTTGTGTAGCTTGTTTTGATTTTAACCAAAGTTACAGCTGCCTAGCTGTAAAGCAGTCAGTTTCTCTTATTATGACTAGTTCTTCAACTTGTACTGTTTTAAATTGCCTGCAATTAGCATATTTCAACCTTATTTTTAGGTTTAAATTGCAGTGTGAGAGTGTACTCTCCTCTTAGCTAATTAGTGCTATCAAGGAACAGTAGGTTACCTCATTAGTACCATGTGCATTTAATTAAAGAAGAGAAAATTGGAGTTAACCTCATAGTTAATATTTTCACAGAGTGCTACAATGCCAACACCTTCAATTGGAGTCACACCCCTGTGTATCTAATTATGCACTGGTGCCAAATAAGGTTAGCAAGGGTACTACAAGGCTGTTGACAAAATAATTTAGATGAAAATGTGTTTGTTGGATTCTGACAGTAAAATATAACTTGAACATTTCCCCCCAGTCCCTATCTGCCAGCATCAGGTGACATACTTCTTCACAAGAAAGAGAAGGAAGGGGATATTTTGGAAGCCATTTTTCCTGTCTGAATTAATGTTGCTCTTATCTTGAAGAAAACTGCATATAGTCATGTAAAGCATATACAATCCCTTTCTTAAACAGAGCCCCTGAACTTCACAGATGTATTTGAAAGGAATTATTTATAAGATGTAATATTTACATGTATCAAACCACTACAAATACTCCCTGACACCCGTACCACGGCCCCCCTTGCTTTTCTTCTTTTCTGGTATAGTTATAATTTCCCTTGTGTATCTTGTGAATGGGGATCATCCTTTCATATCATACATGAAGTCTAAGAATGTGTTGTCACATGATCTATTCAAATGCAGTGTAATCCTTTTGCCCTTCAGACAAAATCTTTGAAATGTCTAATGCTACTTAGGTAAAAAATGACATTCCATGTCATTTATCAATAAATAATCACTTTTCTTTTACAGATAAAAATGCAAACTATACATTTGAGTATATAGAGTAGTTCTCAATGCAAATGGCAAAACTCAACAGGTTTTAACAGATATTATGGAGTAGAGCTCTATAGTCTTAAGTGTATTTTAATGGCAAAAATTGTGATACAATAATGCATAGCCCAGATAATTTACTCAAAGAAATTATTGGGATTGTTCTCAAATTTCATGGCAAGGAAGGTTTGTATTCATTGGTATTAGTTACAATTGACTAAAAGTCAGAGGATAGCTTTTTCAAAATTATATGGAGATAATTAAGTTTTAATAACAAATAGCATCCCATACTCTAAAATCACAGTGCCATTTAAATCTATAGGAGTATTTATGAGTATTGGCTATAATTTCAATTTAGAAGTGGGAACTGAGTTTCCTAAGGCAGCATCACAATAGATAATCAGTGAATTTGGGGGTCCTTGGTTAATTCATTATGATTCAACTAGTAAACTTCACATTGTCAAATGATTTCTATTTTTAAAATCTGTGCTAGTATTAACTGTGAGGAAAACATGGACTAGTCTTTCTTATGTGGATCTACCATGAGAATAATTCCCAAAAATGATTTTTAAAAATGATAATGTACATTATTAGCATAAGCCTTAAGACTGAAAATTTAAAAAAAAATAAATTAAGAAGCCAACTCCTGATTCTCTTTGTTTAATCTAGGAATTGCTTCCAGAAACAAAATTATGTGTCTGTGGCCACTCTTCTGGTGATGGGCATCCTCACAACACATTTGCAGTAAGTTACATTGGGCAACTAGAAATTCAGCTATTAAACACAAGGCCATGGACCCAATCCCATTAAACATAATCTCTGATTTTCTATACTAAGTCCCTTCTATGGGTGCATATATAATGAAGAGATAGCTAATGTTAAGATACAGATGTAATTAATTGGTTTTCTGTTACTTCTTGTGTTCTCATTTCAATTATGTTTCGTCAAATATACACTTCACAGTTTCTGTGAGTTGATGACATTAAAGTTCACCTTAATTATATAAAGGCTGTAGCACTGACACACTTTTCTTGAATTTTTAAGAATAAATTGATGAAAGTACTGAGATGCATAAAAAAATGAGTACAGATTATAATTAATCCAGTAGATATTTTAAGAAAGAGTTGTTGTTTCTTATTCTGCAAGTTGCATATACATATGCCAGTGTGTGTGTGTGTGTGTGTATATATATATTCTGCCACTAGAATGAATTTTGTCTCTTTGAACTACAATATTGGATGAAAATTGCTTTTGTGACCCAATTTATATACCTGTTAGCCTTGGAAATGAACAATAATCCTAAAGTGTTCATTCAAGAATTTTTAAATAGAGCGACTCAGGCTTCTATTTGTCATGAATACTACCTATATTCACAAGAAATCTCTAAATATGTATACTCATATATCTTAACATATAGAATTTTTAATTATTTTCATATGAGTTGATGTACTTATTTTGCTTCAAGAAAATAGAGGACTCCTGAATTGTCTCTTTCAAAATTTATATTTTACTACCCTATGCATAATGTTTCTTAATTGTAATTGATAGAATACGAAACAATTGAGTCTTCTAAACAAGTGTTCTTCAGAAATGGAAAAAAAAATATCTAATTCCATAGTTTCAAAAAAGATATTTCTTCATTAAAAGTAGTATCAGATTGATGTGGCATGTAACTACTCGTGGAAAATATGAAACTTTTAAAACAACAGTGAGTGTAGAGAATTGGTAGTAAATTTTGTATACGGCAGTTATGTTATGAGCTCAAATCATCTGGTTTGGGGTCTTACTCATTTTAATCCTCAAGTGTTTAGCCCTCCTGAGCTTTCTTTGTAATAATATTTGAAAACAATGGCAAAAATTAAAAAATAGTGATGAGTTTTGTTAAATTGATGTAACTAAATTTATGTGAAAAGCTAAAACAATCTAAATTTCTAAGTATTCTTTAGTTTAAAGGAAGATAAATTTAAGATACTTCAAACATAATTATATACTTAAACTTAATAAAGAAGATTAATCAAAAAATACACTTTAAAAATAGTACATTAAAAATGGGATAGTACTCCTAATTGGTAACAGTTTTCCTAAAATAATTCCAATGGAAAATTTGTTTTTATTAAACCAGAGTGTGAGCTGGCTTAACTACTAATAGTGTTTGTTCTTTATTTAAAACTATTTCTACCGTTTAAAAAAGTCATGTTGAAAAAAAAAGAAATCTATGTCATCAGATCTTTATGTTTTCACTGACATAGTTTCAGAATAAAAACGTGATATGGAGAAAGGAAGTAGTTCACCAGGGACCATATAAGTAACTCCTCAAGGGAAGGGCTGCATTTGTAGCCCAGTTCGTGATCCCTGGTGTTTTAGTTTACCCAAAGGTATCCATGTCGTTCTTGGCTGCCTTGAGGGCTGTGTTGAATAGAGTGTGAGGTGTTCCATGTGTCTGTGACCACATTTAGTCTCTCAGATAGAAAAAGTGCTAGATGGGCTAATGATGGTTCCTGTGGCCAAGGAGGGAGGAAGAACATGGCAGAGTAGCGCACTAGGTGCTCACTGTCTTTGCAGGGTGCTGAACTCGGTGCTTCATATTTGTCACCAAGCGACTTCTCAGCTTTACAACTCAAGGGAAACATTGCTTGAATATTATTAAGTAGATGCTCATTTTCCTTTATTGATTGCATTAGTTATAAACTTTCTGCAAGCTCAAACAGCTATATAATGGGATTTAAAATCAAGAAGCAAACTAAAACAAACACTATCTATTATTCATAGTTGACAATTCCTATGTGATGGGCATGGCTCTCTTTTAATATTCATTAAATTTTAAAAGTATCAATATCCTGGAGTGGTACTCTACTAAATCTAGAGCACCATAGGGTCTCTGTTGGACTAAGAGGGAAAAAAGTGTGGAAGGATAGAAGAGGAGAACCTGAAGCCAGCTACTGTCCTTTATCATCTATGTGACTAACATTTTTATTAAATTTTGAATTGCAATTCTCCAATTTTTATTGGGCCTTATCAATTTAACATCACATATATCATTTCCATGGTTCTTCAACTTTCACAAATAAAATGCTGACATTTTCCGGCATGTGTTTCAATTGCCAGATTAAATAATTTTTTGCTCTCCCCTGCCCCTACTTCACGTAAAAAAATAACAATCAATTTAGTTTATTATGAAGCCTGAAATAAAGTGCCGTAAATTACGAGGAGGGTAAGCCACAATACCAAATTACCTTAAATAAGTAAAGAGTACATATTTGAAATTAAATGGATGTCCACAGCTTTCCATCGCATCATCCTCTTGCATGCATTAACTATATCACATGACTAACCAAATATGCAAAGCAAATATATTTCATAGTGACATTTTTTCTGTCTGCTTGTTTTATTAATAACCATCAGATATTAGCCATCCTTTGAATACTGTACCTTTCTAGCATTATAGAATACCGCATTAGTGGTATTTTATGTGCCCACTAATGCGTTCTATTTACTGTGTCTGTACCAATTCATTGCAGTAGTAGGCAGTGGCTGAGCACAATTATATCACCTCTACCAGAAAATTGTAATCATAAGTTTTGTCTACCTGTTGTATTTAAATATTTGGGATCCATGGGTTGTATTTTAATATTATAAGACAAAAATATTATATCCTTCTGTCAATTTGGGTTTCTTCAGAAAGATCATTACTTTCTAGCTTTAAGTGACAAGAAATTGAGAGTAAGAGAATTTCTTTGTGGGTGATTACTTTCCAATGCTTGTTTTTCACATTCTGTCTTTTCAAATGCTGTTTATTGTAAAACTAATCTGAAAAATATCTTCACTTATTTGACTTTTTGTTTTCATTTATTTATTCATTCATTTATTTTTGGTGCCAGGGGTTAAACCCAGGAGCACTCAATCACTGAACCACACACATCCTTATCCCCATTTATTTTGAGACAGAGTCTCGCTAAGTTACTTAGGCCTCCCTCAGTTGCTGAGGCTAACTTTGAACTCAAAATCCTTCTTCCTCAGCCTCTTGAGTAGCTGGGATTATAGGCATATGCTGCTGTGCCAGGCTTATTTTTCTTTTCTTTCTAACTTTCATGTTAGGACATAAGACATTCCTTTTTGATGGATAATTTTGGTGTATCTAATATCTTTATGAATGGCTTATGGTCAATATCCTGAATTTCATGGTCTTTGGCTTCCCTACTACACTAGTAATCCAAGTAAACTCACCACTGTATAACTAGACTCTGTTGACACCTCATCTGCCCAAGTGATTCATTAACACCTACCTGCAGATAATCTTATTGTTAGTCTTGCCTACAGTTTCTTACACCTAAATGAATACTGTTTTACTTAGCAATCTTCCTGTTAGCGCTAAGTGCTAAGGCAATTATGTTGACTTCTTAGGGTTTTTTTTTTTTCCTTAGAATCTTATTTTTAAATCCTTTAGCATTGGACCAGACGAATCTTCTGATGAACAAAATATGTTACACCTTTAAACTTGATTGGCTTTGGTTCAGTGAGTGGGTTTATGTCCTATTCAAATTGAGTTTCAGTGTTCATATTTGATCTTTCCCTACTGGTCTTGACTCTGTTTATTGCCTCCTGGATGTTTCTTCTTGGGGATTGTGATGATTTAAGAAGCTATTTTTTTGTGTTTCAAATACATTGTTCTCTTTGGGCTTTACTTAAATTCTGTTCTGCACCCAATAATCTATCCTTTGGGTTCTAGAGTTACTGGATTGAATATTGTGCAAATTACTTGTCGTCATACCCTCATCAGTAAGATTAGAACAATAATTATATTTACCTATAGGGTGGCAATGGGGATTAAATTTAATAACCCTGGAAAAATTCTTAGCCTGATGACTAACATGTCATTAAGTATGCAATAGATGTTGAGTCTATGGTAGCACCAATATACCCTGGCTTGGCAATTCTATTTGAAATAAGATATTTATTTATTGTTAACACTAAAGGAGGCAGTGGGTATTGTACTGGATAAGACAGATGGCAGTGTTTCCCACTGGGAGAAAATACTTTATATTCATTAATTTGAGTTGAACTGTGACCTACTCACAAAAATCATTGTTGTTCAAATGTTTGTGACTTTTCAAATGAAAGATGGCTAAATGGAAGAATCAGAAACCTGCCTAACCATACTTAAATGATAGCCTACTAGCCAGAGGAACTGTGGCTAAGATATGATAGGAAAAAAGACTATACTCTCAGTTTTTGGCATCAGCTAAGGTACAGGAAGATACTATAGCTCCATTGGAACTTTGGGTGGTAATGCCAAATACAACTGGGTTTTTTTTCCTTCCTCTATTACAAATGCATTGGCAGGGGATAATGAGAAGTTGATATAGATTATTACTTACTAGCAATAAATAGATAGAAGTTGAAACAGATTATTACTTACTAGTATTAATAGTCTCATCTAACTCGATGGACACAATTTCATTAGTATTAAGGTATGTAGTATAAACTGGAATTTATTCTGAAGCAGTATAAATTAGATTTGTTATTCCATCATGATTATTATTGAGTGATGTTTATTGACTTTTATGATGGTATTGATACTATGGTTCTTCAGTAAGAAATAAATCCTAAGATTATAAAATATTCCAAACACATTTTTGTTGATTTTATTAATATTCTAAACATAAAGTATAGTGACCATGTTTAGGGCTACTCTAAAAACCTTCCAGATGCGTCATCTGAAACAGAATAAATGTTTCTGTTTTTAA